GGCTACACCCCAATGGCAAATCAACAGCTCAATTAGACCATATCCTCGTCAATGGGAAATGGTTAAACTCAATTCGAAATGCTCGCGCGTACAACACGGTCGAACTACATTCCGACCATCGACTAGTGAGTGTAAAAATGTCTATCAGCTTACGAGCACCAAAAAACAACAAATGCCAACGCATCACATACGACTGGACCAAACTCAAAAACAACTGCAGTCTCCAATCTCAATTCAACATCGAAGTTCAAAATCGTTACGACGTCCTCAACGCAAACAATCCCGACAACAACAACATACAAACAGAATATGACAATTTCATAGAAAGTATAAAACAAACAACAGAAAAACTAGTCGGACAAACAAAACGATCAATCAAAAAGAGCTGGGTCTCGGACGAAACCATCAACTTTTTGAGAAAACGAAACAAAGCCAAAAACATATTCAAACAAAAACCAAACCCAAACAACAAAAACAACTGGCATCAACTCAACAAACATCTCAACGCATCTTACCAAAACGACAAAATCCAATTCCTTGAAGACAAACTTGAACAATTGAATCAAGCTGCAATCTCAAATCAATCAAGAACCACGTGGAAGCTCATAGATCAAATTAGTGGAAAACGTAGGTACAACAACGCCACAAAGATCAAAAGTACAAACGGTTCTAAAATCAACTCAACCGCAGAACTGATGAACGAATGGAAACGATACTTTGAAGAATTACTCAACGTCAAGTCAAATACATCTCCAACTACACAAACAATTCCACCAGCCGACAAAGATCTTCCAATCAACACAGGTCCAATTTCGATCGACGAAGTACAACAAGCAATCAAACAGCTAAAAAACGGGAAATCTCTCGGACTCGATCACATCATAACACCAGAAGTACTCAAGTACGGCGGCGATTGGATCGTTCACAAGCTATGCAATATATGCAACGAAATATTCGAAAATCAAGCAACACCAACATCATCATCCCTATACCCAAAAAGGGAGATAAAACTCTTATGTCGAACTACAGAGGTATAGGTCTCATGTCTGTTGCAGCCAAAACATACAATCGAATACTTCTAAATAGAATACGGGAACCGCTTGATTCAATTCTTCGAATAAATCAAGCTGGCTTCCGGAAAGGAAGAAACTGCATAGACCAAATACATACAATACGTCGTATACTAGAAGGTGCAGTGGATAAACAACTACCAATCTACATCACCTTCATAGACTTCAAAAAAGCCTTTGACTCTATTGAAAGAAAAACAATGTTTGATATTCTCAGGCATTATGGAATACCAACGAAAATGATCAACGCAATTCAAACTATATACAACAACTCACGAAGTGCAGTTCTGGTGGATGGTCAACTCACAGAAGAATTCGACGTTACTACCAGTGTTTTACAAGGTGATACATTGGCACCATTCCTCTTCATTATTGTAATCGATTACGTCATGAAAAATGCGGAAACACAACACACAAATGAACAAGGTGAACATGGATTTGTAACAAATCAACGACAATCAAAACGACAATCAAAACGACAACCAGCAACAACAATTCACGATCTAGCCTTTACTGATGATATCGCTCTGTTCGAAAGTAACTTCGACACAGCACAAACACAATTGATCACAACGACGAAATGGGCCGATAAAGTAGGCTTACAAGTCAACATCAAAAAGACACAAGCACTAACAAACCAAAATACCAACAACAAATCTATGCAAATAAATGGAGAAGACATTCAATAGGTAGACAATTTCAAATACCTTGGCTCAATGGTACTCTCAAGCAACACCGATATCAAAGTAAGGAAAGGGTTAGCATGGAAAGCTTTCTGGAAATTGCGAAACATATGGAAATCGACAACAATACCTACGAAGCTGAAGATTAACATCTTCAAAGCTTCTTGCATTTCGATTTTACTATATGGCTCCGAAAGCTGGATCATCACAAAAACCCTTGAGAAGTCCCTAAACAGCTTCGCTACTAGCTGTTATTGAATAATACTCAACATTAAACGACTGGACAAAATATCAAATAACACAGTCTACGAAAAAGTGAAACAAGAACCCCTGGTACAAACAATACAACGTCGACAACTGCGCTTTATTGGACATTGCCTACGCCGAAACTCAAATGAATCTACCAACATGTATGCTCTGTACACTCTGAAACCTGGCCATGGAAAACGTAAGCGTGGACGACCTCGCTTGAAATACGTTGATTACGTCGCAAGACTGATCAACAATGACAATCCACCAACGATCGAAGAAATCAGAAAGGTTGCTGCAGACAGGAAAAGCTGGTACGATATTGTTATCGCCTGTAAGCCGCGCCTGTTTGCAGCCGACTGATGATGATGGACCTATGAGTATCTCATAGGATAGCCCTCGGGGACCTATGAGTACCCTCATAGGACACTTAAAGAGTCATAGATATTCAGCCTGTGATGCCCCTAAGGAATCCTGAAGATGGTATGTGTAACTTTTCATGATGATCAGCTCATAGAGCTAAACTATTTGGAAAGGTTCAGTTCGTTGAAAAGAACTGTTCAAATAGTTCAGTTTGTGGTAGTGAGCGTTTTGAACAGTTCATCAATTCTGAACTAGAGCTGAACTTGTTTTAGGTAACAAAGATCGAACACGAGTTTTTTTCTAACGTTATATTGATTTTATTTAAAATTTCATTTAATATTAATATTTAAATAAATAAAATCTAATTGATCTATTCTATCTCTCATCGGTTTTTTTCTTCTCTCTTCTATAATTAAGTTTAACCTCAATATTCGAACTCTATTAGCATGGAAAAAAACACATAAAATTACTTTCTTTCCTGCGGATATCGTCATCATATAACATAAGCACTTTTTCGATCCTCCCTATTATCATTAATCTCTAAACATTCAATTTGATCATATCATCTAAAGATTAGTTCTATCCTAATCGAGATTTTAGAGAATAATTTAAAAATATTCTCAATTGCTATACATATGTTGACCAAGGTGATTTGATGATTCGTTTCGAGTAGTTTAAATAGATGTTAGATATCTCTAGACGATAAATAGATATCATCATTTTGGAATTGTATCCTATATTATATACCGAGTAAACTAATTTTATTTTATTTTCGAGATAAAATGTTGACTATAGAATAAGATTGAATCCTAATCGGAAAATGTCGAGATTGATAGTTATCTCATCTTTGAAGGCCGAAACGAGATTTTACATATATTATATCTTATTAGAATATTTTAATCGAAAAAAAATTTCTCAATGAAAATAAAAGATAATTCGATATAAAATCGAAGGTTTTATTTCAATGTAAATGGTTAATTGTTTAAAAAAGTAAAAGATTATCTCGATAAATAGTTAACTGTTAGAAATAGAATATCTCTATTAGAAAATGATTTGTTTATATTATATTCGAATATTTGGTAAAGAATTGATTATCGAAGGGTTCTCTGTTCTTTTTCATCGTTTCGTTATATAATTATTATATTGAAAAAAAAAGAGTGCACATGACATCATTTAATAGAAAGGATTCGTTTATTGAGAGATTAGCAAATGAGAATTATTTATCTGATGATAATCGATCAAATTCCGAACAACGATCAAGACGATCAAGTCTTGCAGCGTATTCTTGGATGAGATTTTCATTTTTTAATTTAAATAAAAATCAACAACTTATTCTATATAAATTTTTTTAAATATATATATATATATATCTTTATTTTAATTAATATTTTAAATAATCGATTTATATAATAAGATGTTTCTCTTGTTTTTGTTATTATAATTGTAATTCTATTGAATACGGTTATATTATAATATTAATAGATTTATTTATATTAAAGATTCAAAAATAAAATAGTATTTAGAACTGATATATTCTATTTAAAAATAAAAATAAATCTCATTTATTATCTTTATTTATGTTTGGTTTATTTCGATTTAATAAAATAGTTTTTTAATATTGAAATGAGGAAAAAAAACTGATAAATTATATTGGAAAGATATAATATATTCAAAGAATTATTTTCAATAGAAATCGAAATAACTCGATTGATTTAACATATATTACACGAACGGAAGATATTTATTGAAATAAATCCAGCTCTTAAATAAATAAATGAAATCTAATATTAATATAATAAATCATTTCAATGGTTAGACTAATATTGATAGAAATAAGATTTTATTCAATTTATTTATTTTAATTTAATTGAGTTAACCCATTGCTGGTGTTTTTCTGTTAAAAATCTTTCTATAGTTTTATAATGAAATTATTTTATGTTATTATTGTCGAGTTAAGATAATAATTATATATTATTGTTTTTCATTAAAAAAAATCTTTATTTAGAAATAAAATATCATTTGTTTTGAAGAGTATTCAAATTGTTAAAAAGAATTTTTCAAATCTAAGAAACGTGTTATATTATTTAGATAGATTTAAAGAATATTTTTCATATTCGTAGAATTAAAAAAATCAAACTTTCATATTAAATCTTTATTGTTATTTTTTCAAAGCTAATTTAAATAGTTAACTATCTCCTTGCAATTGGCCCAAAATTCGTTATTTATTATATAAATCGATTTCTAGATGAATCTATATTGATTATTTTTATTATATAATTTTGACACAATTTATTTCTCTCTACTGAACAATCGCTAACAAATGATTAATATTTCATCCGATTTGAACTTGTTTTCTCGAAAATCTGTTTTTAACTGCTAGATAGAAACGTTCTATAAGACGAAATAATGATAAAATAGTTCGAATTATCGATTAAAAATTTCTAAGGAAATAAATTTAATCGATCCTTATAAAAACGTTTTGAAAATAAATTTATTTGAATAGGATATTTATCGATATGGTTAAACAAACAAAATTCGAAAATAAAAAATGAAAATATTTTGTTTCTTTATATTTATTAATATAGATGTGATGATGTACCCGATTAATACAATCGAGTTCGTTATGTTCCAGATTCTTGTAAAGTATTGTCTGATCTTTGGAAAACAGATAAAGATTTTGTAAGTTAAATAAAAGTATTGATAATGATGTATCAAAATCATTGAAAGAATTTCGTTTGAGTGATGTTGCACGTTGTTATCGTTCTCCATATAGAACAAATGGTGCTTTATCGATTTTAAATCAAATAATTGATGATTTAATTCAAATACATGATTTTATTGATTCAAAAAGAAAAGAATGGCTTGAACAATTTTAAAAAATTATTGAACAAGCTAGAGATAAACAAGTATTTATTTATTGATTGATTGATTGATTTTTAATATAAGTCAACTATTCGTCAAACAATGACTGAATTAAGAGATAACTATGAAAAAGCTCAACGAAAATTAGAAAGAGCTGATGCCAATTTAAAAAAAAGATGTTTTAATGATGCTTTGATTTGTTCTACTTCTCATTTCAAAATATAATGTGTCCCGTTGTTTCTTTTTTGAATAACTTTTGATAGGAACATCATAGAGATCTTCGGCTTTCACCATTCAAGAGAGAAGATCCGGAACCTTCCAAAATTCTTGCCAAGAACTTATCCAATTAGCCAATGAAATTTTGATATATTTCGACTGCTTTGGATCTTCTCTTTTGAATGGTGAAAACCGCAGGTCTCTGTAATATTCATATCAAAAGTTATTCAAAAAACAATAGAGCACACCATATTTTGAAATGAATAGTAGTTATTATCGTTAAGAAAAGAAGTCAAAAATACTGCGTTTCTAAATGTTTTGCTTTCACTTTACTTATTACAGGTAATAAGATCATTTTTCTTATCGTTCAATACGAGTAAGGTAAATCGATATAGTAAAAAATAACTTGTGCTGCTTTATTTTTATTTTTTGACGAATTTTCTTATATTTTTTGATCGTAATACAAACAATTGAATGTCAATTATTATTAGTATAAAATGAGTTTTACTTATTTAGAACTCGACAACAAGATTTCTATGATCAATATTCATCATCATACAATGATTCACATTATTGGCATGGAAATAATTCAAATTCATATGATTTTATGGTTCAACACCGGTGGAAATTTCTCAGTTTCAACATTCATCTCATACACTTTTACAACAAAATGGTTTTACTTAACAAGTTTATCTTAAATATAAACAAGAATGTCTTGATGGTAAAAAAAAAACGTTGATTGTAGAGAAAAAAAAGATTATTAGTTCAGTACATATTTACAATATTTCGAGAGAGAAACAAGCTACTCGTAAAAAAAATTGAAATTATGCTACATCGAACGTAAAAAAACCGAGTCTCTTAATGAATAAAGAACAGTCAACATATCTAAAAACAACAGCGAAAACTACTCTTCGGTAAAAATCAGAGTCTAAAAATACTTATATTCTTATTTAAATAGCTAATAGAGAATATGTCTGTTGCTATAATTTTCAAAAAAAAACAAAGATTTTACTCTTTTATGGGGTTTTTTTAATAAATACTATCATTCTTATCTACATGATAATTTTGGAAAGCAATAAAATAATCATCAATGATCAAAAACACTAAGTTTCACTAATCGCCAAACTTTATTATTTCATAGAAAATATTTATAATCTAAATTTATGTTGATTTACAAATAAAATACATTTTGTTTTCTGTAATGATCTAATTTCTAGAAAGCGTTAAACTTGATCCTGGTCAATAAATGGAAATGAATACACTCTATCGTTTTTAGTCATTTTTCTTATGTGAAAATTTTAATCGTCATATATACAATGAATTTAAACAATACGCTGTTGAAGATACTAAAACTGATCATCGCCATATAAATGAATTGTTTTTATGAAAAATAATAAGCAAAAAAAGTTGAATATTACTATTTATGTATAGATACGGTGTTGAATGTCTATTTCGATTTTACACATATGGTATAGAAAAACATTTTCGTCAACATGTATTTAAATATAACAAAAATAATTTTTCTATTTAGGTCAATTGTATCGTTTAGAAAAATTCTGGGCATTTTTAATATATTCTCGACAAAAACCAAAAATCCATCCAAAACTTGAAGAAATTTTAAAAGACTATAAAAATCTTGAAGATCTTCATGTTGACGATGCATCATTTCCACAACAATTTTTTCCAAAAAAATCAAATTATAGTAATTGGAAAACATTTTTTTTCTATAATGTAAATAATTTCGTTATAGACTGTGCCAGCACCCGAAGCAATTGCTGTTGCAGTAGCAAAGAACAGTGATACATCAAATTCATTAAAACTCAATGGTAAACAATATCTGAACGGTGCTAAACTTTATACACGTTTTGTTTTTCTTTTATTTTGTCTAAAATAAAAAACGGTGCTCACATTTTTTCAAGTGGATTTCGATTTATTTAAAAGTATGCATGTATTTTTTTTTTTTTTGCTTTCAAAGTTTATTGTTATTTAATCTTTTTCTATGTATATATTACATTGGTTTGTTATTGTAGTAGATAGATAGATTAAATAGTGATGCATTTTCTTTTTCTATTGATAGAGATATGAAGAATTTTCATATGGTTTCGTTTTGTTTCTGTAACTATTTGCTAATAAAAACAAAACAACTAAACAAATTTAATTTGAATATGATTATGCATGTTTTTCTTTTAGAAGAAAAAAAAAGACAATGGCTTCATCTCGTTTATTTAATAATATTGGTAAGATATTGAGATAATATTTTATTTCAACAGAAGAATTTAGTGTTTTACGAATTTAAATATAAATATATTCTAGTTGATGATGGTCATCGAGCTGTTATTTTTGATCGTTTTCAAGGTGTTAAACTAGATGTTATTGAAGAAGGAACTCATTTTATAATTTCATGGCTTCATAGACCAATTATATTTGATATTCGTACACGACCACGATCTGTTCCATCAATAATAGAAATAAAAGGTATAAAAGCTAGAAGAAAACAGTCAACGTCAAGAGAGAGGTGAACATGAGGAAAATGTGAGCTCGCGAAAAAAAAGAAGGTAAATACGATGTCTATTGAAACATCCATGAATGTATATGGCTGAGATATCTTAAAAAATTTTGCGACCATCGATGGTGACTCAACTGATCGATTTACACCTCTACACTCTCATCATTCACCAATCTTAGAATACTTCATAAAACTTAAAACGGGAAGTCTTCGTTATTTTTTCTTCGTATAAATGAAATATGCATAAATTACATTTTATTATTTTTATTTTAGATTTACAAACAATTAATATAACATTACGTATTCTTTATCGATCGAGAGCTGAACTTTTACCAAAAATTTTTTTCAAATTTGGGTTTAGATTATGAAGAACGTGTTTTACAATCGATTATTAATGAAATTTTAAAATCTGTTGTACTAACTCTCAAACACTTTTGTTTTTGTTACTATGAATAATTAAACTGATTTTTAGTCTCAATTTGATGCTATTGAGTTGATTACATAACGTACACTTATTTCTCATTTCTCAACGTGTTAGTGAATTATTAACAGAACGTGCTGCTCAATTTGGTTTTTTACTTGATGATATTTCATTCCATTGTAAGATACAACAAAAAAGAATCTCGAGTTGATTATATTGTTTTTTTCTTTAAATTAGACACATTTAAGTTTTAGACCTGAATTTACAAGTACTGTTGAATTAAAACAAGTTGCACAACAAGATGTTGAAACACAATGATTTTTAGTCAAAAAAAGTAAATCAATAAGAATAAAATTTGTATGAGTTTGTTTTTTTTTATAAAAAAAGAACCAAGCTGAACAAAGTCGTCAAGCAAATGTTATTGCAGCAGAAGGTGATGCTCGTGCAGCTGATTTGATTGGTAAAGCTTTAGATGAAGCTGGTGATGGTAAATTTTCGAATATCTTTTATTATCCTGTCTTACTTTGTTTTAATATTCATGTAAGGTTTTTTTGTTCGATTAAAAAAAAAAGAAGATCGGATCAACAATTCTCTAGATGATATTAAAGATTCGAGTACGATTGAAATGATGAATTTCGATAATCTCTTTCGACGTTTTATATTAACTCAATCATTTGTACGTGGTTGGGGAAATCCATTTCATTTATAAGAAATTTTTACCTATCAACGTGAAAAAATTGGTATAAGAGATGTGTTTAGAACTTGTACCAGCCGAAAATGTACAGGAAAATACTGTTGAAATAATTAAACAAGAAACAAAAAGGTAATTAAAATTATTTTAATCATTTAATTAATATTATCTTTTTTCTTTTGTCATATTTATTTAAATAGGTTCCATCTCAAATAGCTACAGCTCATTTTCAACTTGTTCTATCACGTGATCATCGTTTTGGTATTGGTTCAATTCCAATAGGAATTTGTTATGCTGGAACAGGCGATCATGGTTTTAGTCGACGATGGTTATTTACTGCAGTCCCATTAATTAATCAATATCCTATAGGTTCAATTCTTCTTGAAAATCCATATTATGGTTTAAGAAAACCACTAGATCAATCTCGTTCATCATTATTGTATGTTACCAATTTATATATCATGGGTGAAGTACTTGTTTTAGAAACACTTATGCTACTTCATTGGTGTCAAAAAATGAAATTAACATCAGCTATTCTATATGGTTTTTCTCTTGGTGAACATATGGCTTCATTAGCATTTACAGAGTAAGATTCAATTCTATTATTTGATCTATTTAATGAATGGATATACAGTATCTATCATAATTTCAAATAATGATTCAAGTAGAGCAAACCATATTACAAAATTTTTAGACAACCCAAAAGCCTAATTTCTCAGTATCTAGTACTTGAACTCTCTAGGACGGTTTTTTATTGAGTAAAAGTTGAATAATTTTGATAGTCATTGTGTATATATTTATATTTTAGATGGACTGATCCACCTTCTCGACAATTCTATGAAAATAAAGCCTCTCAAACATTTTATGATTATTTACGTGAACGAAATCGATCAATGGATTCAAATAAAATTGTTCTCAATCTTATTAAAGCTATGATGCATCTTCTTATGGATGAATTTACATCTTTATATAATTATTCATGTTCAGTTCAATCAAATATATCTAATGCTATGTTTATTGCTTGTACACATGATGGTATTCCACATATGAATGATGTATGGGCTGGTATTCATATTCGATATATTCCTCATGGACATGTTAGTGCATTTTTATTCAATCAATCAGGTTTTCATCATGCTGCTGCTGAAATGTTACAACGACAAGAATCAAATGTAAAACTAAAAAAAACATCTAATCATATCACCAATTTCTGTTACTACACCTAAAAATTCGTGAAGATATATATTTTTTTCATATAGATATTTTCTCGAAAAGTATCAAATATTTCCTAGTTTTTGTGTTATGATTGGAATAATAACTCAGAGAAAAGAAAACTTTTGATCGAATATAAACTAGATAATATATTAATCGTTTTGTTTTTTAAATATAATTTGTATGACTCTAGTGAAAACATGAGCAAACATTTTTTTGTCCTATTTATCAGCAAATAGATATTGAGAGAACTTCTTCAACTGATATTCTCTGTTCGTGCTCTTAAGCCTTTCATGATTGTTCTATTAAATTTTCAGCACATTGCAGGCTATTAGCAAAAAAAACTGTAATAACGAGTCTCCATTTGAAACTTTCTTCAATAACAGATCTCATAACAATTATTACATTCTAAAAGTTTTAGCTCAAACGAATGGATCCAAGTCAATCAGTTAGACAGTGAGATCAATTACAGATTCTTGTACTTTCACACAAGGTCATACAATTTGATTTCACTATATTGTTTGAATCCTTTACAATAACCCATACAGGTTAGAGTTCTCTTCTTTATAAATTACCGTACCATCCATACGCATACACAGCCAACATTTAAATTTCTAGTAGCATAACTGGATACAGATTTATCTATATAGCTTTACTCAGAATTGGAACTGGTCTTTATCAGTTCTCTTTCTTTTCGCAGATGTGAACGAGAAGAAAAAGAACAGCGTGTACATTTATATGATCATATCCTTAATATCAAATAAAACTTAGTTATTACTTGAAAAAGAAAATGTATAATGCAAAATAGTTTGTTTTAACAACAGAAGAATTACTTGAACTCTGTATTATAAAAATAACTTTATAAAAATAAAAAGAACTATTCTTTTGCTTTATTCGTATCTGAGTATTTCAGATATTCACTCCAGAATATTGTGTAGTGAATACGAAGGCACAATAAATAAATTTTATTTTGTATTTTCATATAATTTTGAAATTATTCATAGAAGATCAATGAAGAAATGTATTTCTATATGAAACATACTCTATTGGTATTTAATGTTGAGAAGAAACTAAAAATAAACAGAACGAAAAAGAAAATATTAGTTTTTTTACGATTGCATTTTAATGTTGATTATTTCAAATAATGAAGATAGATATTTTTTATTTGTACTTCATAGTTTACATTCTTGTTAAGATATAAATAGCCAATATTGACATAATCTGTAGCTAAAAGACAATAAAATTTCTCTATCATTGAATCTCTGTTTATTTGCTTGATATCACAAACAGATTGACAAAAAGACCAGGTTTTATCAAGTCTAAAACGCTGATATTATACACTGAGGATGTGGGTGTGCAAGCATAGAATACCTACGCCCATACCCCATCAGGGTTTGAATAAGATCGGAGAATTTTATTGCTTGGAAAAACAGTATGAGAAATTATTTCAATTACTTATTGAATCAAACAAGCAACATGCGTTTGTGGGTGCGCTAACTTCTTAAAGACTATTATTTATTAGCATAAACTTTCACGAGTAAAATGCCTGCTGATTATTTTTTAAAGAGTTAGATCGATTAACTATCTTTTGTTACACTGTTACTTTAAGTACACAATCAACACTATCTCATTTCAATAAAACTATGTCACCTAATGCAAAGCCTTCGACATATTAGAAGATACCCTTTGAAAAACAATTTTTTAAGAATAATTCCTACAACTCATTAATTTTTTTATTATTTATGTCCATTATAATATCTAAATTCACTATAAGCAATATTTTGCTTCCGTTGTTATAGCGACATATCAGTTTCGTGTTAGAAAAATCTTGAAAAAGGGTGGATACGTCTGAGTATATGGGTGCAGTTGTGAGTCTTCTTTTCATCTACAACACAGCCAGACTCATACCCACATCACCACATCCACATCATGAAAATGCATCTATAAATACACTCATTTATATTTTAATCTCTGTGATGTATATTTTTCTCTTCATCTTTCTCGATAGATTCAGAGATAATAGTAATCAATTTAAATAATGTTCGAGCTTGCTGAAAGTTAATTGCATATTTGACTTGCATATATTTTTATATAATTTGAATACTGATCGATATGCAGTTGTAGATTCTAAACATACCTGATGATGAATCCTCAAGTAAGGTTCGAAATAATCATCGCATGATTGCTTGGTTTTAAAAAATTCATCTATAAACATGCCCACAGCCACATCCGAGGTGAAAACAACTGAGAGTTCGGTTTTGAAGTCCCATGAAGTTTACATGAACTCTTGTGAAGTCTCAGAAGTCTCTTGAAGTTTCATGAAGTGTTCTGAAATCTCTTGAAGTCTCTTAAAGGCTCATGAAATCTTTTGAAGTCTTCTGAAGTCTTTTGAAAATTTGAAGTCTCTGTTGTTGAAGTCTCTTGAAGCCTTGCAGTCCGCTGTTTCCTCCTCGCTTTTTACTGCCCCAATACCCTCTATCAATCGATGTATGAATGAACGAGATTGAAGTTAAACATCTAGGAATTTTTTCTGGTAAGTAGATAATAGTTGAAAAGCAAGAGAGTTAGAAAAACTGCACACAGAAACGAAAGAAGTAATCAAAGATCACAGATAAATAAAGCAAACGAATCCGATACTAAGAAAAGAAGATCAGAGATTAATATAGTTTACGCTAGTTGAGTATAAGACAGAACTGTTAATATTTTTATAGTTCAAGTAAGCGTTTTTTCTTTTTATGTGTGTCCATACGTAAAATTCTAGCGTCAAACAAATGTCACTTCATCTACTACTCGTTGTCATTATATTCTTTGAGTTAATCGCTGCTGCTCTAGTTGCCATGGTGGTTCCCTGCTCCTAAGCGTTTCAGTCGTTCCATGTGTTTTACTCTAGCTGCTATCATATTTGGATTGAACATTTTGTTCATTTTTGTATATAGTATGAATATTCCAGCGACATGGATCGGTAACATAGCAACGTACTGAGCAACTGTGAAGATAGCAACAGGTTGTTTACAGGCTTCTTCCTAAAAGATGGGTAATAAAAGAATACTGAGAAAAAAGAAATACTTTGAGTGAACAAAACCTACGAAATCTTGTGGTGTCATAACTTGCATATCGGTGACCAACTGAGTTGTAGTTGCAGTGGTAACAGTTGTAGTGGCTGTAAACAGAGGGATACATGATGACATAAGGTAATTTAGATGAAGTAGCCTCTTACTAGTTGTTAGAACCGTAGTAGTGGTAGTTGTCGTACTAGTAACGTTCAGTATGGTCGTAGTCGAGGCGATTATGCCAGTTGTGGTAAGCTGTAATAATGAAAAACAGTCTTCGCTATAGATACTTTACAAGCCAGTAGAATATCTGTCACTCGAAGCTCACTAGTGTATTGACAGTTGTAATCGATACATTTCTCGTTGTCACTGTATGTGTTGTAGGAGGTGTTGTAGTCGTTGTAGTTGTACTCGAAACTCCTGGGTTCCAGATATTAAACTGCCAAAATGTTACATCGGTGATGGGTGCTGATTCAGCATCTGCCAAGTAGTTACAAAGATCATGATAAAAAAATTAACCTTTCATTTTCCAAAGACTAATACAAAGAGACTTACGACAAAATACACTTCCACTAGCAAACCCACTATCCATTGTTACATAATACGTATGACCATAAGTCCATGTTACACTTGTAATGATTGTGACTGTGTATCCATTATAAAACATATTCGTAGCATATCCAGCGTCATAACACACTACTGACAGATTTGTAGCTAAATCGTTAAAACAGACGTATGTTCCATTACGACTTGGACGACCAACAGGATTTGTAGCTTTGTAATTAGAATAGAAGATGGAGACCAATAGATTCAGTTAAAAAAAGCTGTTAGCGCAATCCCTTGCGGGATTAAAAATGTGAAACACGATGGACCTATTGTTACTAATAAAATGGAAATCCTTTTGTTGCATTTCCTTACGACACATTTGTAGCTGACCGTATATCTGATGCTTTATAACTACAATTTCTGTGTCACGGTCTGTTATGGGCACTCGGGTTCTCAGTCACGGTCTGTGATGGGTACCCGGATTCTCTCTCACGGTCTGTGATGGGTACCCGGGTTCTCTGTCACGGTCTGCGATGGGTACCCAGAGTTCTCTGTCACGGTCTGTGATGGGTACCCAGGGTTCTCTGTCACGGTCTGTGATGGATACTCGGATTCTCTGTCACGGTCTGTGATGGGTACCCCGGGTTCTCTGTCACGGTCTGTGATGGGTATCCGGGTTCTCTGTCACGGTCTGTGATGGGTACCCAGGGTTCTCTGTCACGGTCTGTGATGGATACCCGGATTCTCTGTCACGGTCTGTGATGGGTACCCAGGGTTCTCTGTCACGGTCTGTGATGGGTACCCGGATTCTCTGTCACGGTCTGTGATGGGTACCCACGGTTCTCTGTCACGGTCTGTGATGGGTCCGGAGGTTCTCTGTCACGGTCTGTGATGGGTATGGATTTTCTCTGTCACGGTCTGTGGGGGGGGAGGGGGGGGGTCCAAAATTTCTACTCTATACACTTCAACACTCCTTTCAGATCGTGTTTCACAATAGAGATTAGCTATGTTTTCACAAAATACATACCCGTTATTGAAAATATCGACTGGTTTGCAAAGACAGTACCAACCGGACTTGCTGATCCCTGTACAACTGTGGGGCGAATTATATTTGGTGATGTATAGTCAACTAGATACGTAATACACCATGGATCTGATTGCAGATTATGATTGTCAATTGCACCAGCACAGAAGCCTTCAGGACCAGACTGTGTTATGTTAGGTGTCCAAGTCAATGTCATGTGCCATAGACCTGCGACATTAAATTTCAAACAGATAATTATTGCTTACTCTATCTGAAAGACTGCAAACTGCTTACCACTACTTGGATTAGTAATCGCACTATGTGTCATTCCAATCGGTGAGCTAGTGACAAAATCAACAATAGTTTGACCGGTACAGTATGTCTGTACAATTACAGTTTCAGTCAACTGAACGTCTAAAAGATAGCAGTTAGATATCAAAAAAGAAAAGAGGAAATTATCAACTGCACTTACCATATGGAACTCCAATACATGCTAAAGAAAATTAAAAAAAATATAAGAAATCGTTGTTAAATGCCTGAATTTAAGTTAAACTAGAGTTCACACTCATACCTCTATTTGGACGCTCACCGATGACTGCTGGACGAGTTGCACAAGCGCTTGATGAAGGTGTGTATGCATAGAATAAGAACTGTATTGGGACCGAACTCATTGGAGTCGTGTGGGAAGAATCGTAGTAATCTTCGATCTGCAGTGCACAAGCGTAATAGAGATTAGTTGTTGGTAGAGTAAAAACTAATGTGCAATTGGAACCAGTGAGTACAGTTGAAGATGGTAGTCCAGAGCAGACGCCGCCACATTCATTCTCACGGTTATAGTTTGTACTAGTTAGTGAATTGGACCAACGACATGCCAATATATCGGTGGCATCAGTATCTGCCATTTGCACAACGTGAACTGTTTGTGTATTCACTGGAACAAAAACTACTGGTAATGTATTTGTAACAGGACTTGTATTGATGTAACCATCGGGTCTCACGGCTAAATTTAGTCGATTAACAATTGACCAACTTCCATTACCGCCAATATAAAGTGAGCTAAACCATGCACTTGAAACAAAACCAATTGTAATTGATGTGGTCAAACGTAGTGATACATTATCATAGCGTTCACCAGCCCACGATTCAATTATCGAGTTTGAATCACAATCTGTACTTGTCATTACAGTTGAAAGTGAAGCATAGTTAGAACTTGAACAATTTTGTAAACATGTCATTAAGGAATTGACAGGAATCGATGTTTGAGCAGCAACATCTGATTCATCACAATAAGGTGTGCTAAAACTGCTCCATCGCCGATTCCAAAAATATCTTTGATGTATGAGGATTTGGGCATAGCTACCCGATGGTACATTGTTTAAGGGACGCCTAAGAAGAAGAACATAAAAAATAGGACATACGACATCGAGTTGTAAAACAAACGTTAAATAACTACACTTACCATGAAATAATACCACCACGGAAATGTGCCCCGTAAATCATTCCAAACAGTGTACAAAAAACAAAGAGAAAAAGACACAAATCACTCTTCATTTTGTTAGTATAGAATTGTCGTCTTTTCTTAGTATAGCTTTCATTTTCTTTCAATAATGAAACAGTTTGCTATAGTCAACTGAGATTAAAAGCTTACCTTTATAAATTATAGAATTTTTTTCTCTTCTTCTTCTTGCATGTATAAGTTGATGTTTATTTGAACAAACTTTAAAAAAAATGCATTAACATGACCCCATGAAATTTCTCAGCTTGAAGCCAGAGAGAAAAAGAAAAGAAAATTTTAACGCACAATTTTTCAATTACCTTAAAGGGTAAATAAACAATGGGAAAATATTTTTTTAATTGTTTTCATTTCGTCTTCTTCGTCTATCGCTTTATTTCGGGTAGATGTCTAACTCAAGTTTGAATATAAGTGAAAATTAAAAAAACAAACGGCATCCCTGTTAATATCATCGACAAGCATGGGGAAAATTTTATTCAAACTGCCACACATCTGTCTATCCAGCAGAACAAGGGTGTGGGTGCGCGTGTGGGTGTGGATGCATTTGAAGAAAATTCGCACACCCACATCTACACGCACACGCACGCTCACCCTTCCTTTTCAATGGTATGAATGTGAGTCTTGTCTTTGCCAGACGCACACTCAACTGCAGATGATATAAGGGAAGCTCGTCTGTCGTAACTTACTACAGAGTATATGAAGCCACCCGATGAGACTCTTTACCGAGTCGAACTGTGTCGTGATAGCTACAGTTGATATTTCTACAATTCAGATTAGACTTATGAAAACTGAACTCAAATTCACACTTATATGTTTGTCATTGAGGAAAGAACTATGACAGCTGAATTACATTCAAAGGATGGCAACGTAGTCATTTATTTATATTAGAACATGATATTTCATCCATTGGAAAAGGTAAATGTAATATAGAAGGGTAAGTCCGTGGGGTTTCTACCACTTTTGTGGAAAAAATTTATGTGAAACACGATCTGAAAGGAGTGTTGAAGTGTTTAGGGGTAGAAATTTGGACCCCCCCCCCCCACAGACCGCGACAGACAGGGGTCTGGACCCATCACAGACCGTGATAGACAGGGGTCTGGACCCATCACAGACCATGACAGACAGGGATGTAGGTCCGTCACGGACGGTGACAGACAGGTTTTGGACCTATCACAGACCACGACAGACAGGGTTTGGACCCGTCACAGACAGGTTTTGGTTCCACCACAGACCGCTTGAACCTATCATAGACCGTGACAGACAGCCTTTGGATCCATCAAAGACTGTGGCAGACAGGTCTATGGACTCATCACAGACCGTGACAGACAGGGCTCTGGACCTATCGCAGACCATGACAGACAAGACTCAGGGTCATTATAGACTGTGATAGAAGACTTCAAGGAAACATATGATACGATGCATAACTAACATATGATTGAAGCATACATGGAGTATTATCCTGTTGAAAGTCTATAATGTGAGGTAAACCATTATAAAGAAATGTACATCAGTATGCATAAAAAACAACAGCTTTTAGAACATCGGCTATAGCAGCTACATCCTGTTTCACATTTTTAATCCCACAAGGGATTGCACTAACAGTTTTTTTTTCGGTTTTGATACCATAGTTAGACGTATCATAGTCGAAAACGGTCTGAGGTAACAATTAAAATCTTTTTGGTTGTATAAAGTATGGAGATCCAGGTCATGTTTTAGGTACGTCTAAATACAAATGGTGTTGGCCAGTCTGGCCGGGTACCACTATTATTTTTTTGATATAGCATATAAGATAAATATGATTTTTTTACCAGTTGTAGTACTCATAATCTGTTAAGGATAAGGGGCCTATATCATGTACAAAGTCAAAATAGTCAAATGTTTTCAGAAAATCTTTGCATAAATATCAACAGATTTTTTTTGAAGACATTTGACTATTTTGACTTTGTACATGACATAGAGGGTGTGGGGTGTGGGTGTGGGTGTGGGTGGGTGTGGGTGTGGGTGTGGGTGTGGATGTGGGTGTGGGTGTGGGTGTGGGTGTGGGTGGGTGTGGGTGTGGGTGTGGGTGTGGGTGTGGGTGTGGGTGTGGGTGTGGGTGTGGGTGAAATGAAAATCTACCCACACCCAACTCACACACCTACACCCATACCCAGCCACCCCACACCCACACCCACACCCAGCCACCCCACACCCACACCCACACCCACACCCGCACTATATGAGTACTACAACTGGTAAAAAAATCATATTTATCTTATATGCTATATCAAAAAAACAATAGTGGTACCCGGTCAGACTGGCCAACACCATATGTATTTAGATGTACCTAAAAAATGACCTGGATCTCCATACTTTATACAACCAAAAAGATTTTAATTGTTACCTCAGACCGTTTTCGACTATGATACGTCTAACTATGGTATCGAAACCGAAAAAAAAAATTTTTCCACAAAGTGGTAGAAACCCCACGGATTCACACAGAAATATGTTAGCTAAATTTTAAGTATCAGCAATTTCGCCATCCGTTGAGTTCAAGACGAGTTCTGATGTCTTTAGCTGCATTATTGCTTATTTCTCAGACAGTTACATGAAGGTGAACACCTGCAGACTGTCCGGATGTGCCCATTTAGCCAACTACTTGTCCTCGTGCAACTCTTTGGCCATTCTTTACGATCAAAGTACCGGATTTCATATGGAAATAGGTAACTATAACTGAATTATACCGTACTGTAACATAATTACCACAAGGGCGTGAGTGTGTGGGTGTGCGGGTGGGTGTGGGTGTGCTGTTCGTATGTGTATCCACACCCACACTCCATATTAATGTTTACCGGATTAATTATGCAGCGTTTCGACTCTGAACGTTGTAAAATTGATTTCGTCAGACCTGTATTCTACAAAAGGAACATTCTTTATGGAAAAAATAAAATTAGACGATGAGCAACTCAACATATTATTGCATTGTAGTATTACATGGCTTGTAATATCGTCACTTCTCATTAATTTGAAAAACATGTAAGTCATGAATGAAAAAACTGGTTCCAACTGTCCTCAATTATTAAATTTTTTCGTGCAGTTTTATTCAATCTGTCTTCCTGTACCATTCAACATTCGAATTTTCGACTTGATAATACCTTACATATTAGAGTATGTAAGTATACCAATGAACTCGCACACTGTAATATTCGGGATGTGTGGAAATTTCTACTATTCTGAATTTCGTGGGTTCTCCAAAAAAAGTTTTTTCTGGTACCGTGTAGAAATATTTCGTGTAAAATCTTTTTGTAATTTGCTATTAAAAAGTCTATTCAAAGGACTCATTGTAAGACTCTATGTAACACGAAACACAGACACGGTTGATAGTTACTAATGACTAACGCAATACATGGAAAAACTGCTGTTGTTAACAAAACCCATATTTCTTCCACTTCACATTTATCCTCTTATATTCACATATCTAGACTCTTATAACCATACTTTTAGATCAATGTTCTTGTCAGGGATGCCAAAGCGAAAGTTAAAAGATTAGTAATTAATATTTTGATATCAGGAATCAACAGATGCCGATTTGTTCGAAATCAAAAAGTGACTTTTATTGTGTTCAGATGATCGTTTTGTCCCATGCTAGTATAATTATATACATATAGAGTCAAGTGAGTAACGAATGACTTAAAAGTAGTAACTCGACTTGTATAATGACTTTTTATATGGTGAAATATGTAGCTGTAAATTTGTCTCGGTGAAGACAAGATATAATTCTTTAGCTCATGTTGTTGTGAGAAAGTAATTACCTTAGAATATGGTTTCCAAAAAATGAACTCTAACTATAGATTTTTCAGACATTATAAATCAAAGTATATCATAATAATCGAGAATTATTAATGAGACTTTTCATACTTTAGTTTATGTTGAAATGCATAGAGAACATTAAAATTGATTTTTGTAACATCTTTATCTCTTTTTTAGTGATATTTACAAACATTTGATAGAAACTTTATAATACATTTTTGTTTTAAAAATCTGGAGCATTTAAAACCTTAATGTGTGCAAAGATGTAATCCACTGTTGTTTACAACTATTGGGTTGATGCAAAATTAACGACCGTTTTTGTTAGCGATCATTTTATTCTCGCTTTCTCTTCTTTTCCTTTTGCTATTTGAAAGAATGTTATTGCAGATAACATTCTTTCTATTCTCTGCTGTGATGTGGTGACTAGGCTGTGGGTGTGGGTGTGGGTGTGGGTGTGAGGGTGGGTGTGGGTGTGGGGGTGGGTGTGGGTGTGAGTGTCGGTATGAGGCAATAAAGATAACAACACCCACACACCACCCACACCCCACTCACGCCGACACCCACACCCACACCCTAGTCACTACATCACAGCAGAGAATAGAAAGAATGTTATCTGCAATAACATTCTTTCAAATAGCAAAAAGAAAAGAAGAGAAAGCGAGAATAAAATGATCGCTAACAAAAACGGTCGTTAATTTTGCATCAACCCAATACTTTTGAGTAATAAAGTATTTCGTTTATCATTTTCTGCATATACACTTTGAAAAATATACTCACTAACACTGTACTTTGTACTGAGACGTTTTAAACTCAATCCAAAATAGATGTAATCTGTACTTACCTTGCTTGCAAGTCTCATTCGAATCCGTTGTCTGCTCATTTGACATTATTTACTGTAAAGACGAAAAACAAAGTTGTGTTTAAATTTTTTTAAAGACATACGCAATAACACAAGGATGGCGAGGACCGATGAGTAATCAAAACTTCTTATTTTTTCTATTCTCTTTTTGCTCGATCGCTCTCGACCAACAGGCACCACATGACGAAAAAAGAAATGAGGGATAAAGTTTGGGAGATTTTGCCATGGTAATAGAAAACAGTATGATGCGTGATTCATGTAAAGTAGTATCAACAGTGCGAAAAATTATAAACAGAACAGTTAAGCTTGTAAACTGTAGTGAATTATGGTAAAGAAATGTTAAATATCTTTAAGTCTTTCAATAGAATGATATTAACAATTGACATTGAAATAATGTGGAACGACAAAAATGAAACATCATTAATCAGCATGCGTGGATATCTAGAAGAAGTGAACAATTAAAAACAAAGTATAACAGACAATGGACTTAAAGATGGATATATTTTTCTAACAATTTATAATCTATATTTCTGTTAGGTGTGTGACAGCTCATAGGTCTAAGAATTGATTCTTTTTTTGAGAACTGGATTGTACGGGCAGGTTTTGTTGTTGACCATTACAGTAAACTATTTTGTGAAACACGAGCTAAAAGGAGTGTTGAATTATATGGATAGAAATACGGATATGTTAAATGATTTTGTCGTATTGTTCTAAGTCATCGAATAAATGGAGTAAGATAATGGATACATAAATTCCCAAATATTTGAAACTTGACATAAAATGCACTAAGATAGAAAATAGAATCATTTGACCTGTGTTTTAATTATATATATTTTTAAAAAAAAAAGTTAAAAGAAGAACAAAGAAAAAATCATCTATGAATATCAATTTAAAAAGTTTTTTTAAACTGATGTTTTAGGTCGATTTTGAAGATATTTTGCAATTTTTGGTTGTTTTTCAACTTCTTGTCGATTTTGTTTTAATGATGGATAATTATTTAAACAATTTTCATTGATGCCAAGAATAGTTTCAAAAAAATTATAAAAATATAAATCTGCCCATGTTAAATGATTACCAACAAAGAATGAACCACCATTACCAAATACTTTAAGTAAAACATCAAGATTTTGTAAATGTTTAGGAAGTTCTTTACTAAAGAATTTTTTACTAAGTTCTTCTCTTTTAACATCATTTTGTTCATCAAAAACTGGTATTCATTTTTCTATTAAATCTTCAATTGTATCAACGACAGCATCGACTTTAGCTTGTTCAATATCATTTCTACCAGCTAATTGAAATTGTTTAGCAAGAAAACGAGCAATAGCTCTTGATTGTGGTAATTTTATATCATTATATTCAAGTACAGGCATTTGACCTAATAGTATTTTATCTTTATATAATAACCATTGATCATCTTCATAACGAATATCTTCATATATTTGACCAGCTGCAGCAAATATTAAACGACATACTTCACCACGACCACGATTATTAAAATAATAAAGTTTGTATGTTGACATACTATATGCTGTTAGAACTAAGATTAAATGAACAGAAAATGTTATATCTAACAAGTGATAGAAAGAAAGAGAAAA